TATTAGCTTCAAAGGAAGTTACAAATCATTTAGTCTATAGTCCATAGATTTGCATGAACTTAGATTTCCTTAATTGTCAGACAATCTCTGACACAGTAGAGAGTATCTTTAATGTAAGTATGACATCTCGAACAAATGGATGAGAGTGTTAAGTTCCTATAATGCCTTAATTAATTCGTGGGAAGGACATAACAACAAATAAGTTAAAGTAAGAATTTAATCTTTTCAGCACAAGGAAGGCTCTAAATCCACCTTCAACTAGTGTATTAGTACAAAGTTCTCATACCAATAAGTAAGTTAAAACCATGCTTAATAATTATATATTATTTACAATAATAAATACATAATTAATATATTAAATTTATCTTAACATATTAATTTATATTTTTTAATTTTAAATATTTATTTAAAATAAGAAATTTATCATTCTCTCCCTTCTCTTAAAAACCATCTTCCCATTGAATTCCTAAAAATTGACCTAAATTGGGCCAGTGATTCTTTTAAGGATGAACCCACTATATGTTATGTGATAGAGATTCATTTTTGTTTCTAAGGGAATCGATTCTTTTTTTTTTTCTTTAATATACATAGAAGCCCTTTATCTAGTTGAGGGAATTTTATCATTTAACTGAGGGTTAAAAAAATAATGTTACCCACTTCATTTAACTTTTTTTACATTTCTGTTTTTAAAATACTATGAATACATTTTTTTGAGTATTCTACGATAAAATTCATATATTTAGTTTATTTTTTGAAAATTTAAAGTATTTTTCAAATAAATTGATCATTTTTAAAATTATTTTAATGTTTTAAATGAGATCAATCACAACAAAATATGTTAAAATGGATGTTATTAACATTTTTTTTCAACCTTTTCTACGATGATTATTGATAAGCTTTAAAATACCTTTACGGAGACCCCTTACCCGTCTCTATATTAAGACCCGTTTGTATATATAACTTGATTAAATATTTATTTAATAATTTTCATATAATAATCGGAATTATAAATCATAAAGTTTATTAAAATAAAATACCTTATTTTAATAAATTATATTAAAAACTTATAAAAATCGTAAGTCTAACATTGGAATTGTTTGAGCTGGAACAGTGGACCTTTGTGATTTGGAATGTTCACCTCTCTCTGGTTTTCCTTTTTCACGCACTTAATTATGGATCAGTATTTTGACCAAATTAAGAAATAGTATCTCAATCCTCGCAAGTACATTGCTTCGTATGTAAGGTATTCCTTCCACCTATGATAACAATTTCTTTTTAAAATTTTGATTTATACATCTATTTTCTGTTGAAGTGATTGTTAATTCTCTAAATTTGTATTGGGTTTTTCTATTTTAGTAATTTGTTAATAAAAATTAATTTTGAGTTATAAAATTCAGTGTTTGGTCAATTCTCGTAAATACGGAACTTCTTACATTAAAGTAATACCAAAATGGTTTATGGAAACAACTTAATAAATTTTCTTTTCACACACCTGAAGGCAAAATATGTTCTAAATCAAATCGCAGCAGAAAAATAATCTTATTTGTGTTTAAATTATGTAAACTTATAATGCAATAATAGCAAAATTTGAGTAAGAAAAATTACCCAATAATCTTGAAAGTTTGTAATTTTTTCTTCAATAGTATGAAGATTCCACACATATTTATTTCGAGACTAATCATTTGCGTCAATTCTTTGAATATGAAAAGATCACCGTTAGAGTGAGAGAGAGGAAAAAAACTTTTGGTTTTGTGTTTTTTTAGTCTACCATAAATAGTATTTTGCTTGATACATATAATAACATATATGTGTTGATTACCAACCCATGATCACGTTTAAAATCAAATTTTTAATGCATTACTTATTGCTCTACTATCTTATAATTGTCAATTAGTTTTTCTTTCTTTTGTTGATAATTATTAACCAAGTTCATTGCTAACAAATGCATTTTCAACTTTTAAATTTTAGTCAATTATCAAAATTACACTCTATTATTATCTTATTATTAATATTCTTAGTGCTAATAAAGAATATATAATAATATTTCATTTAAAAGAAACATTATTTATTTGATAAAATAAATTTTACAATTTAAATCATCAAATAAGAAAATTTTTCTTTTGCAAAAATTATAACACTCGTTAGTATGTGACCCTGTTGGTTCAATACCAAACTAGTAATAAATTAATAATTTTTTTTATAAGCAAAATATATTATTATAGAAGTTCAAGGGGAACTCAAAATTCATATACATATAGAAAAAACTAATATTTACTCAAAAAAAATTAAAAAAATAAAACTAAAAAGCAAAAACATACTTATACTTAACTAAGACGAATGCAATTTCGTGGATTCAAATACCAATCAGTTAATAATATAGTTTCTCTCTTACTAATAAGTGATAGTTATTTTTAAATAATTTATTAATCAAGGTTAGTGTCTAACAATACTCCTCAACGTTCAGATAATACGAAGTAATTTTTATTTTATTTTCAAGAACCATTAAAAAATAATATAACATTCCCCTTCATGCTTACAACTCTGAATTAACTATAGAGTATGATATAATTTGTCAAAACTTTAATAAGTTAATTTATGATGAATAACTTAAAAAGAAAACTCATTTTTTCTTTCACTCAATTACCCTGACTAAAGTTTTAATTTTTAAGAGAACTCAAACTCATTACCTATAGTTGATGGATTTCTTCTTGAATTATCATTAATTTTATAAGTATTCAATTATATCCAATATTTTTTTAACTAGTGCTCTAAAGGAATAGGTGTCTAAAATTAAAATATAATAAATAACTTTTTGATCATTATAATAATCTCATGTCAAAGAAAATTTTATTTTTTTTAAAAAATTTTCTATTCACAATATAAAGTAATATTAACCATAAATTTTTTTTAGTTTAAGTCAGTTTAATGATTACATTCTTATGTGTTATTTATATATATAAATTAATAAATAAGATCTATTAATATTTATCTAATGAATATTATTAGATATATATTAATCTATCTAGATTATCAATGTCTTATTTATAATAATCCTATGATCAAGAATAATTTAGATTAAATTATAAAAAATATATTTTTTATTTTCATAATTTCTATTATAATAACATGTCTCAAATTTTAATTAAGATCTTTATCAAATAAATTATTATATTAAAACAGTATATATAAAATAAAAATAATAATATTTTATTATTATAACTAAAATATATTACATGAAAAATTTGGAACTTGGATTTATACATTTATTCCCACCCATACCATCATAAGATGACTCAGATTGAAACACTTTTTCATTTTTAGGTCAAATTTTCTTCACATGCAAAAAGGCAAAACTATATTGGGATCTCTTCGGGTATACTGCCAAGTTCCAAAGCTCAAAATTCGTACTCCAGATAAAAAAGATGTTAGAAAAATATGTAATTTTTATTAGTTACATCATGTAAATTTTTTTTTCACATATATATATATATAAAGCAGAATTTGAGATATGTTCGTTTATATATTTTGACCATAAGTTATATATAAAATTTGTTTTAAAATATATAAATAAAATAAGAATTGATATTACTAAATAAAAATAATATTTTAAAACAAATAGATAAAATAAAAAGTAATATAACATCTTAAAATGATATCTGACATTGGGTAATCTAAAGGAGAATACATGGAGACCAGTAGTAAAGACTCCCTTACCTAAAAAGCCAAAAGATATGGATGACACTATAGATTACAGACTACAGTATAGGTGAGGGCTACACTGCCGTAGTTCTGCTTAACCCCATAGCCCATAGGTTTATTATAATATATAATTACTTTTTTTATAATTATTACCAATTTTCCAAAAAAATAATTTCAAAAGCGACACCCCCACGTTCACGCGCCGTACTATGCAAGACCCTTAGCTGCTGTAGGTTTTTGTAGGAGTTAAAGCAAGTGTTTATTATAACTTTTATATGTTACTTATTTTTGTTATATTCAAAAGTATAGACATTAAATTTTTTTTTTTTAAAGTTTCAGTTCAATTTAACTTTTTAATAAAAAAATTTATTTTAAGTTTTTTATTTTTAATTTTTTATTTAATTAAATCTGAATTCAATCTGCACCACATATTTAAATATAATAGATAAATTTATTATAAAAAATTATATATATATATATTTTACTTAAATGATATTAAACTGTTTATTATTTGAATTAATTTTTATTGATTTACTTTTAAGTTTTTAATTACTATCTTACTGAATATGTTAACTATATTTTTCTAATTATATTATAATAATATAACTTATAATATAATGAAATATCTTAAATAACAAAAACGTATGATTGATTAAAAATTTACAACTTACTATTTTAGTCAACATGCTAATAGGGTTATTTAAAAAACAATAAATAAATAATATTTATAATTGTAAAAATTAACTTATACAAACATAATATTAAAATTATTAAAAATTAACCTATTTTTTATTTTAAATTTTAAAAAAAAATGTTTTTTATACTCATACAAATTTATTTTAATTCTTTTTTTAATATGTTATAATTAATTATATATTTAATTATAATAATTCCTAAACTAACTTTTTTTTTTTTTTTTTTTTGGAAGCATCCTTTACTCGATTGTGTGGGGTGGCATTTGACGCACGCGCCAAGGAGAAAGAAAGTGTGCCCTCGGCCACATGGAATGGAGGCTAGCTTCATGTGACTTTAAAAGAGAGGGTCCATTAAATTACAAAAACTAGAGAACAAAGGTCTTTATGCACTCTTTAAATATCTTTTCTATGCTCTCTCCAACCATACTTATATCAAAGTGATAATTGGAGAGAGAGTTAAAGAAAAGAACGCGCTGAGAAAGGTTAGGGAGGAACCCACCTTCATTCAGGTTCACTTTCTGGCTACTTAGAGAGAAAGTGAGAGCCATATACAAGGAAAGGGATCGAAGAAGAAGATGATGATGATGGTGATAATTACGAGAGAGAATGAGTCGGCAACAACAACAAAAGCAAGAGCAGAAAACGCACAGTAACAAAGGTCGTTATTGCATTTTTTCATCCACTGCTCACTGCCCCTCTTTCTCTGCTCAATTCTGGACCATTCAGAACCTCAATTTTCCCCTCCTCTCTCTCTGGAAAAAAGCTAGAGTGACAGTACCAGAAGATCAAGCAGAAGCAGCAGCAGCAGTGCTGAATTCATTTCACTACTTCACAAAAAAAAAATCTGCCACACTATCTAACCCTTTTCTTTTCCTTTTCTCTCTGTCTGATCCACTCTCAGAGACCCCACTTGAATAAATAACCCCCACATTAGACACACACCCTTATAGTAGATATTTAGACTTCCTTCTCAAAACACTCAGAAGATCTAACCACCTTTTATTCATACGCAGAAACAAATCATAACCAACCTGATAGCTATAAACACACATAATTACACATACATGTGTTTTTCTTGTAATTATTATTTATTATAAAACCATATATTATATTTTTTATTTTTGAGATAATTGTATCAAAACACACCTTCAGTTGTGGCTACTACAAGGAGGTTCCCTTCAGATTCTGGCGCTTTTGCTGACTGGTCAGCCACTCCCTCCGCCGCCGTTTCTGGCCGCGCCGACGATCTCTCCCTCGGTTTCAATGCATCCTCCGCCGCCGTACACGGCGGCGCTGCCTCCGGGATGTGGCCAGGGGCATCTAGGTCATTCAACTACAACCTGGCACCTCATCACGACATCTTCGTGGTGGCACCTTCTTCTTTTCACCACCACCACCACAACGACGCCGTTTTGTCTGATCCTAATAACAACGGTTCCACTTCCGTCGGGGTCAACGTTATCCCTCTGTTAACCGCCACTCCATGCCTTGCATCTCCTAATATAATCTTGGACAACGAGGGCGTAATGGGAAATAACAGCCGTAACAGAATTCAGTTATGGCAAGATCACGAGTCTCAACACCAACAACAACCCAGTAACTACCTGAAGAAGCATGGGCACGGTGTTATTGAGCATAACAGTAACAGTGGCGATGGCAACAATTTGATTCTGCAAAGTGGTTCCGTTACTAACAGTGGTGGATCCACGTGTCAAGATTGTGGGAACCAAGCGAAGAAAGATTGTAGTCACCGGAGGTGCAGGACGTGTTGTAAGAGTAGGGGTTTTGATTGCCCTACTCACTTGAAGAGCACGTGGGTGCCGGCGGCGCGACGGAGGGAACGGCAGCTTATGACGTCGGTGGCGGCTGCGGGGTCTACTGGTTCCACTTCTGGCTCTAAGAAACCTAGGCTTGTGGCTTCGCAGACCACTACTACTTCACATACTTCAACTTCTAATACCACTCCACCTAGGAGTTTTGACACTGGCTCTAGCCATCAAGGTTTGTGTCTCAATGTGTTGCATATACATATTGAATTTTCACGTAGTTTAGTTTCTTTTTTTTTCTGTAATAGACACTAATCAAAACCTTAATACAAAATTGTGATAAAAAAAATTATTACGTTTCATACGTGTATGAGCAATTCTAGCTATTTTCTAAAGTGCCTATTGTTAAAATTAATCACAAGTTTTAAGATAATATTTTAAAATTTTTAACATTAATTTTGTTAGCATCAGTGTTTAAAACTAATTATAAAATAATTAGAAAAGACAATTCTCGACTGATTTTAGCCAAAAAAAAATGCTAATTAGTGTTTGAGGGTATTAGTAAATCAGTAAATAAATAAATATTTTTGTTGAAAGTTATGTTGAAAATATATTAATAATAACTAAAGATGATATTATTATACTTCTATTGAAAGTGTTCTCATTTGTATTCATCAATCATTAACACTTGCCATAATAAAATTATAAATCTTAGTAAGCATTTTATCATCTTATATTTTTAATATATGTTGAATTATTTATTTATTGTGTATATAATTAATTACTTTTACTGTTTGTTAGGGATATATAACAGTATTTCTAAAAGTTTGTGTAATAAAAATAACAAAATATTGCATAATTTAATGCATGTGAGAGGCAAACATCAGAAATACCAATACGTTTGTTAGTGTTTATTTCAGTACATTCATCTTTCTTTCTTTTTTTTATATATCTTTTCTGGGTTTGAAGGAGATGGGCGGTTGTATTAATGTAATTGTAGTGTGGAAATTGAGTAGGGTTTGTTGAATTGTGTGCAGATGCAAGTTTCAAAGAGTCATTGCCTTGTCAAGTGCGTGCACCAGCAGTGTTCAAGTGTGTTAGGGTGACAGCAGTGGATGATGGGGAAGATGAGTATGCTTATCAAGCAGTGGTGAAAATTGGTGGCCATGTGTTCAAAGGGTTTCTTTATGATCAAGGTGCGGAGGATAGAGATGGGTATCCTAATATATCTGAACTGCATTTGGGTGGTGGTGGTGGTGGAAGTAGTGGAAATGTTGGAAGTGGTGGTAGAAATGGTCCAATGATGGATCCTTCTGAAGTTTATGCAGCTTCAAGTGGAGGGTTACTTGGAGGTTCATCTAATTATGGTAATCCAATAAATTAAACTGTTTTTTCTAAGTGCAAGATTGATATGAGCTTGCAAAGTCTGACATATTGTAGGTTATTTTTCTTATTTTGCCAATATTTTGAAAAGGGGGGAAGGGTAGTATAAATTAATTAATATTAATAGTAATATTCTTCTAAAGTTTGTATCTTATTACATGTGTCACTCTTTTCATTTTTCAACTCCTCGGTTTTTGTTCCGTTCTTTCTCTCCCTGTTTGGTATTTGCCTTCGTCGTTGACTCATTGCATGAGCAGATCAATGGATGGCAAAGGAGCCACGTCATGCTAACAATAACTTATGTACCAAATTATAATTAAAATTAATAAACAAACCTTGAAAAGAATCTTGTTTTACTAAATTTACTGTTTAAAATATATAGTTTAATTATGCTGTTGATTATATGTTACTATTGTTTTGCCTTTTCGAAGCTGCTGGCTGCTGCATTGCATTGCATTTTCCCTCCTCCCCTTTATAATTGCCTTTGTTTTAGCGTTAAAATGTGGAAAAGGTGAGATCTACATTCCTTCAGTGCAAACCCCACAGCGCAATTAAAACCCAAAATCTATGGTGTAAATAGTTTTGATGATGATGAATTGTCATGTGAATTTTGTTAGTTTGTGCAGTATTTTATAGGATAAAATTAATAAATATTTAATTTTTTATTAAAATTATAACATTTTATAGTATTAATGTATTAAATTATAATAAGTTTTATAATTTTAATAAAAAATATTATATATAATTTCGTTCTATCCATAATGTTACACAAGTTAAAAATATATTTTATTTGTGTTGTTATTGCTATTATGTGCAGTGGGCTTGCCAGATATATTTATAGTATATGGCTATGCTTCTTTTTCTTCTGTATATGAAATTTTCATGTTTTTTATGCTTAGGTTGGGGATATATATATATATATATAGGGACACATCTTGTATCTTGTAATATTAATTTGCTTGGGTTTAGTATAGACTAGAAATAAATGTGTGCTTCACTCATCGTGGTGCTTTAGACTTTGGCATGAGAAGTAGTTGTAATGTCGCTATCATTTATGTGGGTGTCCTTGTCATCCCTAGTTTATTGGTCACAACATCTCACTGATGCGTAATCAGCCTGCTAAGTTCTGTATTCATCAAGGCATGATGTACTCTCTTTTCCCTTTTGTTCTGTGTGTGAAATTCAGACCATCGCCGATGCCCAGCCTTTCATCTCAGCTAACATTATTGGATTGTAATCAACTGTTTCCCGCCTCGTGTCCCTTCCTCACCCCTGCAATTAAAAAAGTGACAACTGGTTAAAAGGTTAAAGTTTTCTCCTAGGTTTTAATTTTTTAAACTATTTTTTACAAGTTTTCTTTTATCTCATTGATGTATATTTCTTTGGAAAATTATTCATTTTTTTATTATAAAAAGTGACCTTTCTGATTTAAAATATTCTTATTGAAAGAGTTAGGGTTGAAGTAAGATACTATAACTGAAAAAAAAAATTGTATATATTTACTTGTTTTGAGATGAACTAAAACGCCCAAACAATAATGGAGGAGGAATAAATGTTAAATAAAGAATAAATATATTTAATAGTTTTTTGAGAATATATACGTGTATTTGATATTTTTTATTTTAATAAGTACAAGAGTGTGAACGATTTTTTATTTTAATAAGTACAAGAGTGTGAACGATTTAAATTATTTATTAATTGAGGAAGGACGGAGCTATGAAGTATAGAGGTGATTTATTTTTTTCAGAATTATTGTGGGCTCGTGTTTCAATGTTATTGTCTCATTGTCTAAATCAAGGCTTGTTGATGCTTCTGTTGCACCGTTTTGGTGCTCCATGATGCTTTACTTTAACCAGCAATATCTGCACACCTTAATTCTTTGCCTTGATGTTGAATACACATTGCGTTTGCGTTGTTCTTGAAAGTTTGCTTCTTTAACAAGTAAGAACCATTTTAGATATTTAAATTGTCATATGCTTTCTGTTAACCAGAATTTTTGTTAGGAGATGAATTGCCTGCTCAGCTTTTGCTATTATATATTTATAGATTACTGGGGAGATGCAGTATACTTAAATTTTCACTTGCTTTTTCTGGCTGGAATCTAATTTGCCGCTATTTCTGACCCTGGATAAATATACTATTGTAGGATTGAATGGTGTTCATTGCATGTATTGATTAGTTTTTCACATGCTGTTTCCTCCTCCTTGTTTGAAGACTTTTTTAGATGTTGGTTGATTTTGTCATGTGCATTGGATTAGTTTTTTATTCCCTAAAACGAATAAATAAATAAAGAAAAATATTCACAAGCGTCTTTAAGACAATCATTAAGAAACTAAAATTTAAATAAAAATATTTAAAATTAAACAATGTACTTTTGTTACAGTTAATAATTTCCAAATGTTTGATACTTGTCTAATGTTTTATGCTGTAGCATTCTATTAATGTAAAGTTCTTGTGAAGTATACGATTGCTTCTGGCATGGTGGGATGGTTATTTAATATCAAATTGTTGTTGTGTTTTGTGTTAATTACAACCACATTCAATCCTGTCCTTACTTTTCCTTCCCTTTGTGATATTTTTCTTTGTCGGTATAATGTTCATGAACTGTCCCACACATCCTATCTTGTCAACGAAAAAAAAATTCCTGATTTTGTCTTTTCATTGATGAAGCATGAATTACCCATCTTTAAGAACAATGTCCCATGCCGATTTCTTATTATTAAGTCCGTACCAGGGTTATTTTAGGAAATTGGACAATTTATTTGTCCTAGGGCTTGCAATATTTGTCATGTTAATGTTTGGAACATTGACTTGTTTGGTGCCAGCTAATTGTTTTTGCTTTCCTGGGATTCAGGAGTGTATGCAAAACTTTGATGCTTTCAATGCATAACTTTGTTCTCTTCTCATATGTGAATGATTGGGTTATAAGTTTGTTTACTTTAACTTGCTGTGTGAGGAGGCCCCTCTCCTTCTCTCTTTGTATTTGGGTGTATCTATCTGTAGATAGTGGCATCACATGCTTGATGTAATAAAGTAATTGGGAACATCCATGTACATGTCTGCATTTGGTAAGCACAATTTACTTGAACGGTTTAGACTAACGTACACATCAATTTTGGGGATATGCTTAAGTAGTAATATTCAGCAAACACTGGCTTTTGTGTAACCAAATTAAATAAATCAATGAATAAGTAAATTGGTTATTCTCTTTTTCCTAGCTTTTGTTTATAAGCTGTGTTTGAACTCGTTCTTATATTGCATATGCATTGCATGTGTTTTTCCTTTTAGCCTCTTACTAATGATGGTTTGTACCTAACTTTGATTCTTATAAATGAATTCGTGTATTCTTTTGCAATTTTCCAACTATATAAAGAAGTAAATTGTTCGTACTTTTATTGAATTACTGTAACTATTTTTTTTAATTTATTATTTTTCGAGGCCTTGCTTTGTGTGGTATGTTATATACATGATGCTAATTCTTGGATATGGATATATGTAGCTTTTATTTTTTGTTAGTGTTAAATCGGCTGATTAGTCTCGTGTCTTGCATCTGTTATTCTTTTATGGTCTCTTTCTTTCGATAAGTTATTTGTTTTTAATTTCACTTTGTCGTTATGAAGGGACCTTTTCTTTTTACATACCAGATAAATGTGAGCCATGTAGACATTTTATACGTAAAATTAAGTTTTTTTTTTCCTTCTAATATAGCTGTAGACATAGGTTTATATTATGTGTTAAACCAAGTATTCTGCCATCCTCTATTTTCACTCCTAACACTTATTCCCTTTTTAGAAGTGTAGTTTCCCTTTCATATGCTTCATTCTTGAATGTCCTCTTGTATATTGGTACCATAAGTTTCACCTTTTTAACTTTTGTGATTGTTATATATCTTTACACGCGTGTGCTGTTCACAATGAATTTCTTTTTAGTCTCCACCACAGACCCAAATTTCAATTGGAGGAATAAGTTTTAATGCAGTTTGATTCTTAACCTTAGTTATGACTGCAAGTTACTATCTGTTCATGACATGTTTGTGATCAGAAAGTTCTCAACTTGTGGGTTATCAGATTGTTTTCATTCCCGTCACAAATGATTCTTAGGGGTAGAAGTAGCTCACGTGAAGTTATTCACTTATTCATGGTTGTTGGATAATTTCTCTTTTCATTGCTTTTGCCTCCCTCTTCCAACCCTTTATCAATGTGTTGAAGATTTAACCTCAGCAATCATTTTCATGCGTATATAGTTTTTGTGTGAACAATTTCATCGTCCTTGTTGTACAATACATATTACTGTTTATTGTACTGTCAATATAGATCGCGATCCATGAGAATGAGTGAGGAGAATCGAAGTACTTTTTTTCTCTGTGCCTATCTTTTGACAGTGCAGTTACTTTATCCTGCACCATTTGATTTTTTACCAATTAACTTGTCACTGTGCTTCCGTCACTTCAGTTCAATCATCGGTCATATTAATTTGATACAATAAACTAGAAATATTAGAACACATTTTTTAATTAACTTTTCTTATTTGTTAAAATATATTAAAAGTATAAAATAATATAGGTTACATTCTTTTTTTATTGAATTTTACTCACTATTATTTTTATTAAAATTTAAACAATAAAAAGTGTGGCTAATATTTTCAGTATTAAATATCAATTAGGAGATTTATTTAGTCACGTTGCTATTAACTCGTTTAAAAAGAATTGTATTTTTATAGGTGATTATATTATACTTTTAATTTTGATTTATTAATTTTTTTGTTAGTATCACCGACTATTTGATACATTTTATATATTTTTTATAACAATATAATATTTCATTATAACAAAAAACATTTATTAATAAATAAAAAATATAGAATTTGAGATAACTTTCAATAATATATGTTATTTGTAAAAAAAATGAAGATGTTAGTTTAAACTTTAAAAATCTATTTCATATGACACATTATAATTAGCTTATTCTAAAATTATTTGTTAGTATAAATTCACAATATTTA